GCCCCCTCCCCCGGCCGGGCCCAGCCCCGCTTCCCCTCGTGGGAGAGGGAGGGGCTGCCTAACCCCCGGTAGGACCTGGCCCCTGGAGCTACTGGGCAGCCCCCCCTCCCGCCAGCAGTAACAGGCTGGGAGGCAGATTAGCTTCTGCCTCCCAATGCCCAGACAGGCAGATCAATGGTCCCTCCAGCCCAGGAAAGCATCTGCCAGGGGCTCTGGCCAGCTGCTCCAGAGAGAAAGAACCAGCAGAGCAATTGTCAAGTGACCCAGCCCCTGCCCTCCAGTCCCAGGACCTGGCAATCAGAGGCTAGGGCCACCCAGAACATGGGGCTGCGTCCCTGGCCGTCAGGGCTAATGGCCATTGCTGGATCTATCCAACACTTCCACTGGCTGAAGGGATTTTGCTTGAAAGCACAGGCAAAATAAATACAGGCAGAACCACCAGGCTAAGCCCATGTAGGCAAAGGCAGCTAGTTATATGGGCCCTTGGTGCCTGTGTTCCATCAATAGTCCAGACTGTGGGCTCAGCTCAACCAGCGGCCCCTGGCCCCACGTTTCAGGGAGACGCAGCCTGAGGAGTTAGTGGGGGCCAGGCTGCCAGCAGCAGCAAGCAACCCATCCCTAGCCCACACTTCTCTGTCCCATCCCATTCCACCCCTTCCCACGAGGCCTGCCCCACCTGTTTCCAGCATCCATCCCCTTTGCTGAGCGATGCCAGGAGTCAATAGCACAGAGTACAGCACAGCGGGCGAGGGCTGGGCTGATTACTACCACTGGCACTAGGCTCCCCTCACTGATCCCCATTAACCTTCTAGACCATCCCCCAAACCATGGGCAATGCAGTGCTTGCCCCAGTGTATTGTATGGATAAGAACATAAGAACGGCCATACTGGGTCAGACCAAAGGTCCATCTAGCCCAGTATCCTGTCTACCGACAGTGGCCAGCACCAGGTGCCCTAGAGAGGGTGGACCAAAGACAATGATCAAGCCATTTGTCTCCTGCCATCCTTCTCCAACCTCTGACAAACAGAGGCCAAGGACACCATTTTCTCCCCTGGCTAATAGCCTTTTATGGACCTAACCTCCATGAAGTTATCTAGCTTCTCTTTAAACTCTATTATAGAGGGGACAACTCTGCATGGACCCATTCTGAGCACCACCAAAAATTATGCAAACTTGGTGCCCATGCAAGCAGGGGGAAATTTCACCATTCAAAAGAGAGATGGGCATATGAAAATGTAGTGACTGCTCTGATGTAACCTCAACTATACCCAAGCTTTGCAGTATAATATAACCATTATAATGCTGCAGCAGATGACCAGATGAGACAAGGTCAGCATCTAAAGAAAGTAACTGTAGCCTTAAATTCATCTGGCATCCTGGTTTAAATCAAACCAAAACACCCAGACATTAATTACTCTTTTCCTTATACCATGAAAGAAAAAATGTTGCTGTTAAATAATTACATAATAAAAAATACTTCTATTTTTCATAATGATCAGGAAAGCATTAACTACTAATGAGTAGATTTTTAAAAAGTAACTACACGTGCTGATGTGTAAATACTTTTTGGAATTTTTATGGGACTTTAGCTAGGCATAAAATGGCATTGTTAGTTCAAGAAAAACCAGCCACACAAAAAGCAAAGACAAGCCAGTTGAAGAAGAGGAGAAAGGAACACAGGAAGCAGTGAAGAAACATTTGTCCTGATGATATGGTGGTCACAACTATTCTAAGAAGTAGACAATTTATGCCTAATAATGATTTTTTAAAAAGATGAAAACAATGTTGACACAGAGCCCCAGGCTAACCATTTTTGAAACTCTTCGGCTGGATTTTTGAATTTTAGGATGAGCTTGTGGGTTCCAAGGCTGTCTTACTTTAATAAACATCATTACCACATTATCACAATGGCTGTAAACAGCAGCAATAGCCAAAATGATTAAAATAATGACACCGTTCCAGGGCTAGTTTTCATTTAGGTGAGACTCCATGCAGAAGTAGGACACAGAAAAAATGTTACATGGGGACACATCAGGACAAGAATTTCTTATGCCCATGGGCAATTCTGAGGGCAAATTGCTTTCCTATCTGCATGTGCTGCTGGAGGGGGAAATCCAGTGCTTCCATTATGTAAGAATCCCTGTGACTGTTTCCTTTGCCCATGCTTTACACTAGCCTTATATAATACAAATTAAACACTCTGGGTGCATCTAGACTGGCAAGATTTTGCGCAAATGCGGCTGCTTTTGCACAAAAACTTGCCAGTTGTCTACACTGGCTGCTTAAATTTGCGCAAGAGCACTGACTTTGTAATGCACAAAATCAGTGCTTCTTGCGTAAATACTTTCACGCTCCTGCTCAGGGATAAGCCCTCTTGCGCAAGAATACTTGCATAAGAAGGCCAGTGTAGACAGGCACCTTAATTTTTTGCGCAAGAAAGCCCGATGGCTAAAATGGCCATAGGAGCTTTCTTGCGCAAAAGCGCATCTAGATTGGCACGGATGCTTTTGCGCAAAAGCACTTTTTGCTCAAAAGCATCCTTGCCAATCTAGACTCTCTTTTGCGGAAATACTTTTAACAGAAAAACTTTTCCGTTAAAAGTATTTCGGCAAAATCATGCCAGTCTAGACGTAGCCTCTGAGAAAATAAACATTCTCTTTCTCATTTCATATACATTATATCACATAGGTGGCAATGATAGCTACATGAAGAATCCCATTTATTCTACAACCATGTGATAAACTGATGTTCTTTCACATCTTTAACTGCTTCACCTGCACTCTGTTCCCTGATCTAAAAGCAAGACTTTTAACATACCAAACTTCAGAGCAAATTTCAAAGTAATTTTTTTTAAATAGCACAAAAATATTGAGTCTCACCCCAACCTCAGTGTAGAATCTCCATCCAGATTACGATGACTAAACAGGCCATACTGGCAGTTCTCATTGGACCAGTAGCAGTTTTAAGAGTAGGTACTTCTCAGTCCTATTTGAGCCCAGGTATTCGCTACAAATTTAGGTTGGTATGACTCCATCTCTCAGGAATATGGAAAATCCTCATCCTGAGTGACACAATTATACCAACGAAACTCCAGTTGTGGACAGCACTATGTCAATGCAAGGGTTTTTTTCCATCAACTTAATTATTGCCTCATAGGGAAGTGGGTTACCTTTGCCTATAGAAAAAGCTCTTCCGTTTGCATAGACAGTGTCTTCACTAAGCACGATAGTGGCATAGCTGCACTGGTGCAGTTGCAACACTGTAAGTGTACAGAAGCCCCGAGAGCTGAAATTTCAGGCTAAGGGTACAAAGTTGGAGTAGACCCCAAAATCATGACCACAGATGTGCAGAAAAGTATTTGTAAAGTTGTTTAAACAATCTAGTCTATATTTCCTATCACTCAGAGGTCTGTGTGTGGTAATTTAAGGTAACCTGAGTTTACTTGAGGTAGATTAATTAAAAAACAAAACAACATGTACCAGTTAAAAGCATTGGTTACCAAACAGAAACAAAATACATAACAGTGTGTGGGGCATAAAAGTTTCACTAGAGTTTGTTTGCGGTGATGGACATAACTTATATGTGCTCCACTTTATAATACCATCTGCACACACACACACAAATAGGTATTGATTCGGTTACCATGAACATCAATAAGACCCCGATCCTAAATACCAGATGCCTACCTCTTAGGTTTAGGCACCAAAGTCCACTTACAGATGTCACTGCCATCCATAAGACTCTTGCCAATTCTTATACATGCGTAAACTGACTTAGTGCCTATGTTCTTGCAGTGAAAGTTTTCCCAGAGTCTAGGTTCCTGTCTCTGAGTATGTGCACTGCCACCTCCCCCTTGACATTCGGACCCCTGCCTGCCACCTAAGCCCCAGAGCGATTCAAAAACCAGGCAGGGTAAGATAGATTTTTGCTCACCTGCCTTTTGGGTCTCGATTTGGCAGGCATTGTCAAGGACTACCTGTTCAGACCGATCCTCTTTGATACCTCATTCTGAGTCTTCCTCTTAGGCCTGATCAAATTTCCACTGAAGTCAATTAAAAGATTCCCATTTTACTTCAATGGGAGCAGAACTGGGTCCCATATTTATTGCATTTCCAGTTTGAAAATATGTGAATATTATTTACTACTTGCTAATGGTTAGATGACTAGCAAAATAGCAAAGTGTGATTTTTAGAATATAAATAGTTCTCACAAATCATAACACAGATATCAGAGTGCTACCGAAATCCACAGAATGAATCATTCCTCTCTTGAGATGTGTATCAAAAGAGCATAGAAAAAGGAAAGGTTACCAAGCCCTAATCAGAGAGAGAGCTGACTCTGCTTTGGTCCTGATCTTGCAGAGCTTACAGTATATGAGCAAAATTCCCATTGACTACACTGAGTGTTTTATCTAAGAACAACGAGTTGTCCTGTGGTACTTTTAGAGACTAA